CTTTATTTCTGAATTTCCACGTAGCCGTTCCTAATTTTGAACTTATAGACTAGTGGGTAGGCAGCTATACAACAGCACCCACCGCCAACTCTTGTGCTACTCTTATCTGACAGAATACTTGAATTTGATCATCGTTCTTTTAATGAACTCACGACATCCAAATGTGAAGCGCGTTCTTCTGGCAATATAGCGAGAACCATGAATTCTTGGATTAACACTCCGAACAAGTTCATAGTTAGGCTACGCCCAGTTATATAAATTTCGAAAACAGCTTATGTACTTAAAGAAAAAATATTGTTAAATGATAACAATAAAACTGTTAAATGATAATGATAATATTGTTAAATGATAATAATAATATTGTTAAATGATAATAATAATAATATTGTTAAATGATAATAATAATATTGTTAAATGATAATAATATTTTTGCTGGTTGTTCATTTCAAGTAACTGGTAAGATGTTTCAAACGGATATGAATAAATCCTGCCACGTTTCTTCTTACAATCAGTTTTACTTAACTGTGTTTATAAATTCTAGAAGCACAAATTATTTCAAATAATTATTGTGTTATAATTCGCTATGCAGCCTTAACTGCACTGTTTATACTTGGCCTACTCATTTTTTAAAGGTTTAACAAAAAGCTTTTCCACGATTTGCTGAGCTTTGTGTTTGTTTATTACATGAGTTTTTGAATAAGGACGTTACTGAAAGCTCAACACGGTTTGTAAGAACGATTATCCAAATCCTATTATGCAGTTGGTGGTACTGTCTCTATCATGACATAACATAACGTTTGAGGACAACATGAGACCTATTGGTCCATCTCGGCTGTTCCATCATCTAAACTAAATTAAAATAAATAAATAAAAATCTTACAGCCAGCTTACTTATCAAGATTTTTCTTAAACTCACTTAAATTTACTGCCTCTGCAACATCCGATGGCAACTCATTCCAAAAGCCAACTACCCCATTAGAAAAACAAAACTGTTTTAGCTGAATATGACTCTTACCCTGCCAAAATTTATATTTGTGTCCTCTAGTCCTACTATTCTCACTGTTACATATAAAAAAGGATGATACATCAACACTAACAATTTCCTTTACAATCTTAAACACCCCAATCAGATCCCCCCTAATTCTTCTTTTTTTCAAGATAAAACAGTTTGAGAGATTTTAACCTCTCCGCGTATGACAAGCCCTCCATCCCTGGCACCATTCTAGTAACCCTTTCCAAAAATTCAATATCTTTCCTAAGGTAAGGAGCCCAAGACTGAACACAATATTCCAAATGTGGCCTAACCAGTGACCTATACGATGAAATTATAACCTCTTTAGACTTGAATTCAATATTTTTGTAGATACAACTTAAAATCCTATTTGTCCTTCCACTAGCAACAGCATACTGCTTGGATAGCTTTAGAGACTGATCAACTATTACACCATGATCCCATATATCGGTTCAGTCTGATTTCTGTGATTATACGCTATTGCGTGACATTGCAGTTTCTATTGAAACAGACATCTGCGAAGAATAACAAGGTCAAATTTGGACTACACATTTTGTAATACTTTTCAGAGACCATCCAGCGTGCATATACATCAACTTCTAAGGTCATATTTATGCAGAACAAAGGCATGAAAGTTCATTGGAGCTTCATCAAAGACATGACAGTCATGTAGTTGAATAGAATTCCAGTTTCTTTGACTTTCTTTTTCATGAAAACAGCCGTTGATTTCGACATATGACTGGAAGCTTATGAACTGTTGACTTATGAGTCCTGGTCAGTTTAAAGCTCCTCTTTAGTGTTTTGTTAACTCTACCGTAGAATGCAAACAGCTTCAATAATTATTTGTGACCATAGCCTTAACTTGGCAGAGAGGACATTTCTCCGAATAGGCGTGTCGATAGGAAGTCCGTAGTAAAGTTTTCAATTGAAAGTGTAACATAACATTCTGTCTGTACACGATGATCAGCATTAGAGGATTTTTCCAGTCTAATTTACTGTGTTATTTCATTTTCGTGGAGAGCTAGAGGTGAATCCACCATATTTATTCACAGAGTAAAAACATGAAAACGGAAACATCAAACCTGATAAACCATCCACGGTTATCACGTTTTAACTATATATTAATATTTTATCATAAAGCTGCTTTGGGGCCGGGTGCGACCAAATTATTAGCGTGTCCGGACTATGAATCCAATGGTTCGTGGTTCGCGTCCTATTGTCGCAAAAACCCCGCTCTGCACTTAGAGTTTGTGAGTGCGCTGTGAGGGTTCGTTTATTGCTTGGTAAGCAAAAACTTACACAGTAGGCTATTTGACCGCCGCGGGTATAGAAACCCGTTTTTTAGCATTATAAGCAATCAGACTTAGGGCTGAGCCACCTGGGGGTGCTGTAACTTTATTTGTTTGTTTGGATTGTAGGATGGATGTTTTAACGGCAAGCTGCACAATAGGCTATCTGTACCCTGTCCATCACGGGGAATCGAACCCTGGATCTAAGCGTGTTTGTCCTTGAACCTGCTGCTGAGTCGCTGTAATAGTGACGCCCAAATCCCATTAAGTTGTGAAACAAGAGTAGCCCAATAAATATCGGGGTGCTATCTTCCCTCTAAGCTATGAGTTAAAAAATAAGAACGGCTATGCGCAGATAGCCCTTAAGTAACTTTTGCCGAATATCTGAAAACAAACAAGCAAGCGCTTTTCTTGTCTTTTTTTTTTTTGGCGCTTTCGTTCTTCCCAAAATAACATGCACGTTACGTTTGTGTGAAAGCTATAGAAATAAATCAACTGCTTTCAGGATACATCTAATTTAAACCTATGGATACACTATGCCTAAGAAAGTAATTATTTTTTCTAATATTAAGTAGATACGTAATATCATGTATGATAATGTAACATAAAATTTAGATTTACTACTTCGGAACAACAACCAAATTAATGGATATAAGTTTCGACACGTTCGCGAATCTTCTTCAGTCTAGCTTTTATT